CACTCACTCACTCACTGTAGTAGATTTTTGTTTCAGATTTTTCTAACGTGGTGAAAAGGATTGGGGCTAAGTCTTGGTAGAAGTATGAGAATCAAAAAAAAAACATAGGTCTAGATCTGGATGGATCTTAGAAGCTATCCTGTCCAAACCCCTCATTTTTCAAAAACGGAAACTGATGCCCAGAGAGCTAAGGTGCTTTTTCTGAGGCCACACAGGAATGTTGGAGGTAGGATTAAGACCCAGGTCTTCTTACTCCAGAGACAGTGCCTTTCCTGCTTTACCACACAGCCTTCCTAATCCATCAATCAATAAGCATTTATTAAATTCCTACAATATGCCAGGAGCTGTTCTAGCCCTATGGATACAAAGACAAAAATGAAACATTTCCTGAGATAACATATACATCTAGAAGTATATGTAAAATCCATACTAGGTAATTTCAAAAGTGAGACACTAGTGTCTGTGAAGCTCAGAAAAAGTTTCACTTAGCAGATGGGATTTGAGAAGAAAGGGAAAAAAAGTTTTTTGAAGGATAAATGATTACTCTTTAATTTTAACATTGCCAGAAAATAGGCTTATTTTTCTATGTAGTCATACATCATTATATGATAATCATATGTGAGTATATGTTTTTTACCTTCCTGAGTTTTGAAAACTTGGTTTGGATGCAGTAATAAGAAAAATCATAATGGGGGGGGGTAGAGCCAAAAATGGTGGAATAAAAGCAATGAGCTTGAGCTCTCCTCCAAACCCCTCCAAATACCTGTAAAAAATGGCTCTAAAAAAATTCTAAAGCAGCAGAACCCACAAAAAGACAGAGAAATGAATTTCCAGCCCAAGACAGCCTGGATGGTTGATCAGAAAGTTATATCTCGCCAGGCAGGAGAGGAATGAAGTTTGGCCTGGGCGTGCAGGCAAACCAAGCCTCAGCAAACCTGGAGCAGGCCTCAGAGGACTAAATCTTGAGCAGCTGTGGCAGTTTCCAGACTTCTCAATCCATGAATGCCAAAGACAACTTAGAAGGTCAGTGGGAAAAGTTTGTGACTGTGGTAAGAGAGAGAAGTGTGGTCCCAGCCCCAGCCCTGCTGCAGCCCTAGGGCTGCGGCTGCCTCCAGAGCTTCTGGCCCGCAGACTGAGGCGGAATCAAGTGGCTGATCAGAGGGGGATTGCAGAGATCTCTTGCTTTGCCCTGCTTGGATCTGGGTCACAGTTCTGGGTGGTAGTCTTGGGGCAAGGAGGAGTGCTGGCATGTGGAGCTTGTAGTGGTGGCAGAGAGAAAATCCTCCTCACAGTTCCAAGGCAGAAAAGAGTGCTTGTAGTCATTCATAGACCAGACCACAGGACAGGAAATGAGTAAACACCTTGCCTCTTAGAAGAATTGAGAATTTACAGGTCCCTAGAAGTATCTCTGAAAATAGCTGCACAAAACCCCTGAAGCTTGGAACAGTACATTCTCCACATTGGAAGCAAACTTCTACCTTAACAAAGAGTTTAAAACTCAAATAATTGGCTGGGATCATGAGCAAACAAAGGTGCAAAAGAGTCAGACCACAGAATCTTTCTTTGGTGACAAAGAAGATCAAAACATACAACCAGAAGAAGACAAGAAAGTCAAAGCTTCTACATCCAAAGCCTCCAAAAAAAATGTGAATCAGTCCCAGGCCATGGAAGAGCTCAAAAAGGATTTTGAGAAGCAAGTAAGAGAAGTAGAGCAAAAACTGGGAAGAGAAATGAGAGTGATACAAGAAAATCATGAAAAAGAAATCAACAGCTTGCTAAAGGAGACCTAAAAAATACTGAAGAAAATAACACCTTAAAAAATAGACTAACCCAAGTGGCAAAAGAGGTCCAAAAAGCCAATGAAGAGAAGAATGCCCTAAAAAGCAAAATTGGCCAAATGGAAAAGGAAGCCCAAAAGTTTATTGAAGAAAATACTTCCTTAAAAATTAGAATAGAGCAATTGGAAGCTAGTGACTTTATGAGAAATCAAGACACTGTAAAACAAATCCAAAAGAATGAAAAATTAGAAAACAATGTGAAATATCTCATTGGAAAAACAACTGACCTGGAAAATAGATCCAGGAGAGAGAATTTAAAAATTATTGGACTATCTGAAAGCCGTGATCAAAAAAGACATCATCTTTCAAGAAATTATCAAGGAAAACTGCCCTGATATTTTAGAGAAGGCAAAATAGAAATTGAAAGAATCCACCCACCACCTCCTAAAAGAGATCCCCAAAGGAAAACTCCTAGGAATATTGTAGCCAAATTACAGAGTTCCCAGGTCAAGGAGAAAATATTGCAAGCAGCCAGAAAAAACAATTCAAGTATTGTGGAAACACAATCAGGATAACATTAGATTTAGCAGCTACTACATTAAGGGACTGCAGGGCTTGGAATATGATATTCTGGAGGTCAAAGGAAATAGGATTACAACCAAGAATTACCTACCCAGCAGAACTGAGTATAATCTTTCAGTGGGGAATAACGGTTATTCAGTGAAATAGAGGACTTTCAAGCATTCTTGATGAAAAGACCAGAGCTGAATAGAAAATATGACTTTCAAATATAAGACTCAAGTGAAACATGAAGAGGTAAACAGGAAAGAGAAATCATAAGAGACTTATTAAGGTTGAACTATTTACATTCCTGCATGGGAAGATGATAATTTGTAACTCATGAGACCTTTGTCAGTATTAGGGTAGTTGGAGGGGAAAATTATATGTATGTATGTAGATAGATAGATAGATAGATAGATAGATAGATAGATAGATAGATAGATAGATAGATGGCACAGGGTGAGTTGAAGATGAAGGGGTGATATCTGGAGAATAAAATTAAGGAGTGAGAGAGAGCATTATGCTGGGAAAAGGAGAAGGGAAAGGTAAAATGGGGTAAATTATCTCACATAAAACCAATAAGAAAAGTCTCTCACAGTGGAGGGGAAATGGGGGAAGGTGAGAAGGAATGAGTGAATCTTATTCTCATAGGATTTGACTTAAGGAGGGAATAACATACACACTCAATTGGGTATGGAAATCTATCTTACCCTACAGGAAAATAGGGGAGGAAGGAGACAAGAGAGCAAGAAGATGATAGAGGGGAGGGAGAACAGGGGAAGGGGTAATCAGAAGCAAGCACTTCTGAGGAGGGACAGGGTCAAAGAGAGAATAGGGGGCAGCTAGGTGGCGCAGTGAATAGATGTCTGGCCTTGGAGTCAGGAGGACATGAATTCAAATCCAGTCTCAGACACATGACACTTACTAGCTGTGTGACCCTGGGCAAGTCACTTAACCCCGATTGCCTCACCAAAAAGGCAAAGAAAAAAAAAGAGAGAGAATAGAATAAATGGGGGCAGGATAAGATTAAGGGAAATGTAGTTAGTTTTTCTCAACACAATTACTATGGAAGTGCTTTGCATAACTATACCTGTATAATCTGTATTGAGTTGCTTGCCTTTTCAAGGAGAGTGGGCGGGGAGGGAGGAAGGGAGAAAATTTGTAACTCAAAGTTTTAAAAACACATGTTAAAAAAATTATTTTCACATGCAACTGAGAAATAAGAAATACAGGAAATGAAGCGTAGAAATCTATCCTGTCCTACAGGAAAATAGAAGGGGAAAGGGATAAGAGAAGGGGGGGAGAATATAGAAGGGAGGGAAGATTAGGGGAAGGAGTATTCAGAATGCATGCCATCTTGGGTTAGGGAGAGGGACAAGATGGGGAGAAAATTTGGGACTCAAAATCTTGTGGAAGTGAATTTTAAAAACTAAAAATAAATAAATTTTTAAAAATCATAATGGTGCATGACCCCCTAGTTATAGGTTGTCCAATTCTAAGTGCACAGTAAATTTTCTTTCACAGAACCCCTTAAATTGAAGCTGTAAACCACCATCCAAGTTGTAAGATTGGAAAAAGAATTAAAATGACCCTGACTGAATATATCCCACCATTCTAGAGTCATCAATCAGTTGAGAAGCATTTATTAAGCATCTACTGTTGTGCCAGGCACTATGCTAAGCACTAGGGATACAAAGAAAGGCAAAAAACAGTCCCTGCCCTCAAAGTGTTCACATTCTAATGGGCAAAACAAACATGAAAATTAATAAGGTATGCATAAGATATATACAGAGTAAATGAAAGCAAATCTGAGAAGGAAAGGCACTCGCAGCTGGGAAAATCAGAACCAGCCTCCTACAGAATGTGAGATTTCAGCTGAGTCTCGAAGTTTGATTAAGCTGGGGGTTTGGGGATATCTCCTGTATTGCTGCTAAGAAATTAATATATTTTAGCAGCTTGCAGGCTATATTTCATTGTTGCTATCAATAAAAAAAAATAATTCATGCCTACATCCCTATGGATTCTTAATTACATGGGTCACTAGAAAAAATCTTGAATTGCCCTTTCTAGTGCAGTAAGAATTGTGAAGAAATGGTTCAGTCGGGAGAGGCAGGGGTAGTGGTGGTGCTGGTGGTGATAGCAGCAATCACACTAGCTCTCACTCAGAATCTCTGTTTCCTGATGTGCAAAATCTGAGTATCGAATAATATCAGTTCTTTTAGCTACAAGTCCATGATCTTACAAGGTGAGAAGCTCTGATCACCACCCCTAGAGCTTCTTTCGTAAAACAAATATTTAATACCAAATGGGACAGATTAAAATATGAATTTCAACACACGTGGTGTATATTCCGTAGTGTGAAATGTTATTAGTCATGCGTACAAGGTACTCAAGCCCTAATGTATTTATTAAGAGTAACTGGAGTTTATCGAAGTTTTCAAACAGTCTTCTTGTTCTTCTCCCGAGTGCCTTGCTGTTATTTAGCCGGGTATTCCTCATCACTTTCTTGGCTCTGGACCCTAGGGTTCCTCCCAGATGTGGCTCCAGCTGCTCCCACCCCACCGCAGCTGGTCTCAGTGTCTCCGCCTGCCAAGCGCTGCTGCAGCTACAGCTGCAGCCGCATCTGGGGGGCGCGTGCGCCGTGGCAGCCGATGCCCGGGCACCGCCGCCTCCTCCCCGCTGCCCTGCCTATTTTAGTCCTAGCTGCCGCGGCCGGGCGCGGGGCCGCCTGGAGCCGGGGGCTGAGCTCAGGGGCGCGGAGTTGACCCGCTGGGCCGGGGCTGCGGGCACCCACCCTGAATAAGAAGGGGAGCCGGAGCAGTCCGGTCAGCTCCAGCCTCGCAGGCTCTCAGCCTCCCAGCCAGAGTCCGGCTAGGACCTGAAACTTTTGTCATGCAACCCTGGAGCTTGTGCCGAGCGAAAGAAAAAGGTAAGAAGGAGTTGGGAGAGGAGCTGCTGGCTTTGCAGCCGCCTCCTGCTCGGGTGTCGACTTACAGCCTGGCACCTCACGGGGCTAAAAATGGAAGCGAAAGTTGGAGGCACCCCGGGCTTTGGAGCAACTTTCTCGGAGCTCTCCAACCCCCATCTCTGCCTCTTCCTCTCTGTGCTCTGCAGCTACTCATCTGCCTCCTCTTTTGCCCCAGGTCGGTTACTGGGACTATCATTTTCCTTGGCTGCTCCCCAAATTCCCATCCCCTTCCTCAGCCACTTCACACGTGTTGCCCTTTTTCCTACCCCAGGCCTCCATCACTACTTTCTGTGTTGCCTTGATCCCCATTCCTTTTTGTCTGTCAATCCTGCCTATGCCGTGTCCTCAGGGCCCCCTTAAGAGAGTTGGGGAGGGAATCTAATGAGGGAAAGGAGCCCTCTTAGATTCTCATAGGCGTCTGTGTTTTTAGCTGCTGTCAGTCTCCTGCACTGGACCCTAGAGGGAACAGGATTGGTTCCCCTTGTCTTCGGTTGCACACCGACTTGGGAAAACTGCCACATCTAGCTATACATCTCCATCCTTTCTCACTGGTCCTGTGGACAAGTCTGGTTGTGGAAGAAAAAAAAAAGAAAAAGAAACGTGATTCTTAATGTTTCCCATTCATGTTTCATGTAAGGACTTTGAAATGTAAAGGCAGGCTTGGAAGGCATTTGAAGAGGGAGGTTACTGACACTCCATCAGGAGTTTCCTTCCTCCCTCCTTCCTTCCCATCCTTCCTTCTTTTCTTTTTTCCTTGCTTCCTCCCATCTTTCCTTTTTCCTTCTTTCCTTTTTTCTTCTATTTTTACTTTCCTTTTTTCTTCCTTCCTCTCTCCTCTCCTTCTTCCTTCCTTCCTTCCTTCCTTCCTTCCTTCCTTCCTTCCTTCCTTCCTTCCTTCCTTCCTTCCCTCCTTCCTTCCTTCCCTCCCTCCTTCCTTCCTTCTCTCTTGTAAGCAGGTCAAAGGATCTCTAATATTCAAGAGAGAAATTCTTGGTGGAACCATGGTCAAGTAATTTCTCTTCTCTATTCTTGTTTCCTCATTTGTAAAATATAACAGGGCTGAACTAGATGACTTTTAAGGTTCCATCCAGCTCTAGTGATTCTTGGTCCCTGTATTGATTGAAAACACAAATAGACAATTAATAATATACAGATGGTGAGAATTATTTCCAGCAAGAGAAACTCATCAACTTTGGAAACAAATTTAAAACCTTTCCACCAAACATGCACATTTAGTGATTTAAAAAAAATTGTTAACCATTACATTTTAAGTATTTTGAAATTTCAGAGTAAGCATAAATTATACTTATTTCTTCATATTTTTAATTCCCAAGGACATTTGCATAAAATATTATAATATTGTAGTTGGGAATTGTTCTTTTTGGTAATAAATAAAGAATTAAACAAGAATGCTGAGTTGAGAATATAAACAAAGGTGATCAAATCACTTCTATGGGCTTCAGTTTCCTGACCTATAAAATGAAAGCATTGGACTAAATGAGCCCTAAGATTCCTTCTGGTTCTAGCATTCCATTACATTAGAGTAACTTCAAGAGAGTATTTTCCAAAATCCAATTTAATATAAGGCATTACCTGCTCTCTAAAACTGTGTGCATTTATGCCCTCAGACATTTGGTAAGCAGTTGGATTTCTTTAATTATACAAATCTCTTGTAATATCTGAATCATAAAACAAACTAAACTTCTAAATGGTGACATTCTATGTTGTTAAATTTAAAAATGTGTCACCAGAAACTGGAATCCAGACATTGTACCACAGAACTGACTAATAAGGTTGGCACATCTTTTTAGAGCTACTTGGTCAAAAAGGAGGCTTCAGAAGACTGAAGGTGAAGGCAGGACCTCTTTATGAAACAATCCTCACATATGGGCATGGCAGTAGGAACATTACCTGTAATGATGGAGTGATATTAAATTTTAAGGTAGTCTTTGCAAAATATCTGAGACCGGTCCTTTAAAAAGTAGAGGAAAGCTTCAGAGTTTAGATTTTTGTTGCTGTCGGTGAGGGTCACGGGCATATAGAGCACAAGCAAGTCTCCAAATAAGATGCTACATGTTTTTGATTACCTTTGTAAAGAAAAAAAAATTAAGATTTCCCCTCACTCGCCTTCTGCTCCCCCACTTCATTTCAAAAAATAAACAGGAAAATGCTTCAAAGTGAAAGTCACAGAGGTGTTTTATAAAAACTTTCATTTCATTGTTATTAGACAAATCTGCTGATTTAGGCCTAATAATTCCTAGTTATACTCTTATATGCTGAGCATTTATATTACATAAGATCCAAAGTGTAAAAAACACAGAGATAGATAAAGTTGTGCAACTAAATTATTCATAGAGTTAACAGATGTGACTTGATGAGGACAGAAGGCTATATGTCTGCCTTCTGAGTAAGTATGGGAACAGGATAAAAACCTATCCTGTTTGAAACCTGGAATCCTTGGTCTTTTTGACTTTGCCTACATTTTGAAAGGTTGACAAATTCGATGTGCCTTAAAGGAGATATGGCCATTAATTTTTCCCAACATATAATCTAGTTGAGTTTCTAGCACAACCTTTTTACACAGGTGAGGAATAGCACAAATGCTATTTGTATGGGGGAAGGAAGTATTATATTAGAATGCAAACCAAGTGCTTATGAAATCTAATTTACCCAATCTGTGAATAGTAAGTAAAAACAGTTGAAGAAAGAATTAGATTTTTATTCATACACCTTAGACTTGGAATGAGGCGGGAGGTAATACTTCGGATTTACAATAATGGATTTATTCCAAATAGATTGAAGCAATTATCTTTCTTTCATTAATCAAAATGTATTCTTTTTGGTAAACTGAGGGACTCCTGAATCCAAATGCTTCTTGTTTTATCCTCGTAAAATGCCCACCTATTACTTATAAAAATTAAAGTCTTTTGAACGTCAAGTTAAAGAAATAGCTAATGTACCAGTTTGGCTAAAATATAATTCATATGAGGGCAAAAAGATACAGTTTGTCTGGAAAGGGAGGTAGGAAGGAGGTAGGAGGTAGATTATGGAAGATGGCAAATAACAGCCTATAGAGTTTGTGTCTTAGAAGCAATAAGGAGCTACTAAGGATTTTTCAGGGACACATATATGTACTTGATGAGCAGGAAAGAGAAATTTATTCAATAAAGGAGATTAAGGAGTAGTTAGGTAGAGATAAAATAATATGATTAATAATAATACCTAATATTTATATGGTACTTGCTATGTGTGCCAAGTATAATACTAAGCACTTCACAATTAATGTCTCATTTAATCTTTACAACAATCCTGGGAGAGTTTAAGTGTCTTCCTTAGAGTCACACAGCTAGTGAGTATCTGAGGCCATTTTTGAAACCAAGTCATTTGTTGTTAGGCCCACTACCTTACAATAATAATAATAATAACAAGCATAGTAAAAATAACTTATACAGCACTTAAAGGTTTGCAAAGCACTTTGCACATATTTCTATTTGATCCTCACAACAGCCATTATAAAGTAAGAGGGAAACCAAAAGAGAGCAATGGTTCAGAAGCCAAGGAATAAGAGTATACGGGAGAAAGGGGTTGGTTGACAGTGTTACAGCCTAGAGAGAGGTAATGTAGAATGACAACAAAGAAGGACCCTAGATTCAGCAGTTCAGACAGTTACAGTAGCAAGTTCAATAGAGTGATGAAGTCAGAAGCCGCAACATAAGAGTTTGAGAAGTAAGGGAAGGTCCAGATATCAAAGCAATGAAGTGTAGATGTCTTTTTCTCCGACTTTGACTTTGAAAGGGAGAAGAGTTCTAGGACCAGAGAAGGTTTGGAGGAAGCTGTTGCCTGGAATGGGTAGAGAATGCCTGAGGAAAAATAAAAAGATAGCCATATAATAGTGAAGATGCAATTGAGATTAGATTAGATAAATCTGTTGGGCACCAAAATAGCATGTTTATGCCACTGTTGGGTCATACCATCAAAAATTACCTTCCATCTATTCAGCAGTTATTTTGTATGTACTAATTTTGTGTGTTTCCCCAATTGGAATATAAACTTCCATAGACTATAAACAGAAGTGGTTTTTGCTGCTTCTTTGTAACCCTGTGATTAACACAATCCCTGGAACATAGTTAAGCACTTAATAAATTATTGTTGATTAATTATGAGTAGAAGCAGATAATTGGATGGTGGGGTTAGCTCAGGGCTGGAATTTGGCTAGGCATGTGTAACCATAGGATGAGGGGGCAAGAAATTGAAGGGTAGGGGCAGCTAGGCAGCTCAGTGGATAGAGCCCGGCCCTGAAGTCAGAAGGAACTGAGTTCAAATCCCACCTCAGACCACACACTTGACACTTACTAGCTGTGTGACCCTGGGCAAGTCACTTAACCAATTGCCTAAAAAAAAAATTGAAGGGTATTTGATAGTACATAGTTGAATTGGTCAATCATATAATCGAGACTACAAAGAGAAGAAAGTGAGGACAGAGCAAGGATCATAGACTGGGAGAACAGGCTGAGGGGTTAGAGGTCATGGTCAAGATGGAAAATATGCTTAGGAAAAGTGGAGGCCAAGGAAGAGATGCAAGGATAGGATGTTATGAGAGAAAGCAATGTCAGAGTTCTGGATCATGGAGGTAGCACAGACAGGTGACGGAGAGATGAAATGTAGGACCAGCTCTATTTGTAGGTCAGAGAGTTTAGTAGGAGGATGAGCCGGGAGGTGATTGGGGGAACAATGAAATGCGTATTGGTGTCTTCACATATGATGGAAAGGGTTGAAATGGAGAAGAAGACTGTGAGTCAGGTACTACACTCATAAGATCATAGACCAGCTGGGTGACACAGTGAATAGAGCCTGGCACTTGGAGTTAAGAAGACCTGAGTTCAAATCCTGCTGTGTAACCCTGAGCAAGCCACTTAATCTCTGTCTGTCTCAGAAGAGGAGGATCCAATGAAGTTATATTT